ATCAAGTATCAGCACACAATCTACTAGTTGCTGGTTCAGCTTTACAAAATCTCTTTGACAACACTGATAACTTCTTAAAGGTGGGAGCATTTTCCAGATTCTTCAATGAGCATTAAATGACTCATCAGCATCAACACTGAGTATATTCTAGGTCCTGTGTTATTATACTTAATTATCCCATTTAACCTTTGTGAAAACTATAGAAGATAAATGCCACTGTTCTATATTATAGCTGATGGACCTGAAGCATGAACAGATACAGGAAAAGAACATGAGCATAAAGCTAGGTGGTGGAGTTAAAATGGACCTCTTCTTAACACAAAAATCACTTTTTTAATCAGGCTCACAAATTATTCCTTCTTAGCATATAATACCTATTTTCTCTTTACAATAAAAAATATGGTCTCCTGTCATGACTTTTGCCTTCTAATCCCCAGGTCTCTAAAAATGGAGATTTGATATATGATATTTTTAGGGTTCCTTCTTGAATATTAACATTTTCTGCTCGGCTTTTGTGATATCTGTACTTATTTTTGAAGTCTGTTGATGATATCTAGATTTCAGACATGATCTTCTGTGTTATAATTATTCTAGTCTTTTTGAATAATTAAATCTCAATACATTTCTCCATGATAAATGTATATAATTTTTTATGTCAGACTACTATATTTCATTGTTGCTACCTAGTAGTTCTATGAGCTCATGTAAGGTTGTTCTATAATAATTTGTCATTTTCTTAAATTAATGCAAAATAGAAATTGTTAACAAGTGCATGCAGTTAGAAAATTAACAATTGCATAGTTTTAGCTAAATTATAAAAGTTTTTCAGTTATTGTTAGTTATGTGGTACTGGAAATGGAACCCAGGGTCTTGCAAGTGGGAGACAAGGATTTGACTACTGAGCTATATCCCCTATTCCTCAGTTATTATTTTAATTGTATACATTTATAGGGTATAGTGTATAATTATATACATATATGAAATACCCAAATCCTAGCAATTGGCACTTAAATATTTTTACCATTTTTGATTAATGGATAAAATAATACATATTTATGTGATACACGAAGGTCCATCTTGACATATGAATATGTTCTTCCTTTTCTGCATCTTTTCATTCTTACAACATAAGACTATACCTGCATAATCTTAGAGGGATGTCTTTCAAAATTTACTCTGAAATATGCACATAGACAAAATACTATTGAAATGTATAATAATAATATATTTGTAACACACAGGCCACAAGTTAAGCAGCTAATATTGAAGCTTATTATTTCATTGATCTACATAAAGTGACAGACATTTAAAGATAAATATTATTTATTTTCATTTTAAAATTCCATGTATGTCTGAGATTGGGTTGGTGCATGGGTGAGTGCAGTGCCCATGGGGGTCAGAAGAGGGCATAATATCTCTTGGAACTGGAATTACAGGTGGTTGTGAATTGCCTGAGGTGGATGCTGCGAACTGAACTTAGACTTTCTGAGAGACAGGTATGCATTCTTAACCATGGAGCCATCTGTCTAGCATGGATAAATATTATTTTAAAAGGTATCTTTTATGCTCACACCCCTCAAGCTCAGCATATGCAGAAAAAAACTTATTGGAATTTTTACAGTGCTTTCAATAAAACTAGAGAAGATAATTAGTCATGTCGTGGTCAAATGTAGGCATATTTTCAGGGAAATAGTAAAAGACTGATAAATACTTAGGTGAAGGGAGGATTTAGTGTCTTCAAAGGAAGTTAGCCTTGTTGATAACCTTGATTTTGGACTTTGAGTCTCCAGAAGTGGAAGATAATAAATTTGTTGGTTTATGCTACCACTTTCTTGCATTTTCTTACTGCATGTCTAGTAAACTAGTACTACACAACTCTAATCTTCAAAGAAAACCCTGTAGTTGAGATTGATTTCCTGTGTTTCATCCTCATATATAGAATTGCTTCTTGGCCAAACACCCTAATTGTCGTGCTAGAAACCCCATCCAATGACTGAGGGATCTGGGTGCAGAGATCCACAGCTAGGCCCCAGGTGGAACTCCAAGAGTCCAATTAGCGAGAAAGAGGAGGGTTTATATGAGCGAGAATTGTTGAGACCAAGGTTGGATAAAGCACAGGGACAAATAGCCAAACGAATGGAAACACATGAACTATGAACCAATGGCTGAGGGGTCCCCAACTGGATCAGGCCCTCTGAATAGGTGAGACAGTTGATTGGCTTGATCTGTTTGGGAGGCATCCAGGCAGTGGGACCGGGTCCTGTGCTCATTGCATGAGTTGGCTGTTTGAAACCTGGGGCCTATGCAGGGTCTCTTGGCTCAGCCTGGGAGGAGGGGACTGGACCTGCCTGGACTGAGTCTACCAGGTTGATCTCAGTCCTTGGGGGAGGCTTTGCCCTGGAGAAGGTGGGAATGGGGGGGTAGGCTGGGGGGAAGGGGATGGGGGAGGGAGGGAGAACAAGGGAATCTGTGGCTGATATGTAGAACTGAATTGTATTGTAAAATAAAATAAAATAAAATAAAATAAAATAAAATAAAATAAAATAAAATAATTTTCCTTAAAGATCTCCTTCTTAGAGGTTTCTTTCCAAGGCATTTGAAACTGAACATGTTCAAATAATATAACTCATTGTAGCTATTCCAACCAAATCTGTTTTACTACTGAATTTTCTTTCTCTGTGAATATGTTACCTTCTTCAGTGACTTCACCTTTCAAATCCTACATCTAAGCAATCACCAGAGACTGTCAGCTTTACTTTTTGACACTCTTCTTGTGATGCTTATTCGTCAACTTGACTGAGCAACATGGTCCAGAAATTTGGTCAAACATTATCCCAGATGTTTCTGTGAGGGTATTTTTGGAAGATTCTAACTTTCAAATTGATGGGCTTGAATAAAGCAGAATGCATTCTCTTCTAAGAATGGATCTCATCGGTCAACTAAAGTTCTCAGTAATATGAAAAGATGAATTTTATTCAAACAAGAGGAAAAAGAGACTTAGACTTTGCTGTCACCTGGATTTCTAGTCTGTGGAACTTCCTTGTAGATTCTGGACTTGTCAGTTTGCATAAGCACATGAGTCAATACCTTAAAATGTCTGTCTTGGATCACAGTAAATGCTACAGAACAGTTTCTATTAATGTTGATTGATAGAGACAAGGATAAGTATGAAGATCCTGTAGTCAGACAACTTCCATTCTATTTCAGTGCTAACATTTGCTGTTCATATACCCTACTGGGGCAAATTCCTTAAATTGTATGACCCTCAGTTTCTTATCCAAACAATGAGATGATTATAGTGAACACTGCATAAAGATAGAAGGATTGACTTCAAACTTGTCTTAGAATGTAGTAAATCTTAGAATAGTTCTTGCTATATGCTCAGTATTATAAAAGTGCTTGCAATTTTTATTATTGCTAAGTACAGCACGGAGTGCTCCAATATCAAGCATACTACTTTGTATCTTGATCAGATCTGGTTTTGTTTTTGTTTTAATTTAACCCTTTGGACCTCTTAGTCCTGAAGGGAGGAGAGGTGGCTCCTTTCTACTATGGTGATATTTTATTTGTACTAAAATGTGATTTTATTTGTATGTTAACACATAAAGTTGCTTGGGGGTCAGAGCTAATAGCAAGCCATAGCAGAAGCCAGGCGGTGGTGGCGCACAACTTTAATCCAGATCACATGACAGGCAGATCTCTGTGTGTTCAAGGATACAGCCAGTATGGAGACACATGCCTTTAATCTCAATACCAACCATAGAAGATCTGGAGGTCTGTATAGACAGGCAGTGATGAGTAGGTGATGTGGTTGGGTTTACAACGAATGAGAAGGCAGAACAGAAAGTCAATAAAAAGACAGATACACAGGAAGTAGGTCTCTTGCTGAGGAGAAGGACAGTAGTGGCAGGAAGGGTAGTAAGAAGGCAGTTTTACGTCTCAGCTCTCAGCTACTGCTCTGACCTCTTCGGCTTTTAACTCTGCATTTGGCTCTGTGTTTCTTATTTAATAAGACTGATCATCTATATTCTCCTAATTGTGAAAGTTACTTTCTTAAGGGAAACAGCCATGCCTTCCATTCTTAAATTTTCTAATCACTTTTCTTTGTCTCTGTCCATCTGGCCCTTCATCACCCAATCTGTTTTTAGATAAAGTATCCCTCATTCTGTAGCTCAGTCTGACCTCACATTTGTGATCTTCCTGTTTCTACTTTCTTAGTGTAGTGAGTATAGATCTATGCCACCATTCTGAGAATTGTGACCTCACTTCTTCAAAATCTAACCAAAACCAAATCAACCAATAACATATGGTCATTCTTGCTAGCTGAGAGAACATGTAGTGTATACTACATACTTAGCCACACAGCTGAGCAAGATGCTCTGCAATATTTTTCCCCAAACCGGTAATCGTGCTGTTAATATTTATTATGACCTGAAATGTACCAACTCCCAAGGAGGACTGTTGTTATGGCACTGTCAACAAATACATGCCTACAAAGTGAAATGAAGGTGTGAAGCTCATTTCCCCAATCCAGCTGTTCACTTCTCATCTCACTCTCTTCTTCCTTCATGATGGCCTTCTCTAGAACATACTATCACAACAAATAAATGAAAAACAAGATGTCAACAACCTATCACTTTATATTGATTACCCATAATTTCCAATGGTTAGTGTAGAAGGATAAGAAATAAAAACAGCAATGTGGGAGAAATCTAACAGAAAAAAGTAATAATAGTATGAGTTTTCTACCAAGACTAAAACCACTTTATAATTTATTTAAAAAAATCAAATTGCTTTGTACTTTATGCAACTTTATAAAATAAAATTCAATTGCTTTTATTTAGTGTGGACTGAAGATAGAACCTAGGGTAAGGTGCATACTAAGTAAATGTTCCACCCCTCAGTAATATGCCCAGATCTCTCTCTGGAAACTATAATCTTCATGCCTTGCAGGCCCATGGTGTCACAGCCTACTCGAAGCATTGGAAATAGTTTTGTACCTTTGTTTATATCAATGAGCTGCTTCTTCTTCTTCTGGCGTTCCAGCTTCTCATGTTCAGCTTTCTCTTTTGCAAGTTTGGCTCTTCTGCTCTTCTCTTCCATTTCTTTTCTCTTATGATTTTCTTTCACTGCTTCCTAAAGACAAACATAAAATAAATCATGTCCATTTTCTACACACTATAAATATAACAGAGGAGGGGCACAGTTTAAAACTTCTACAAGTTTACAGAGATAGGACCTTTTCATAGCAACCTCAGAGTGTGGACATATACTGTTTGTTGACAGAGACCAATAATTAGCCTCAGACATTTCTTCTGGAAAAAATATTGAAAATAATCTTTTCAGTTCTTGTTATGTGTTGTGGCAGGAAAACAGGGTTATCTATGTTGTAGGTTTAACAATGAAAATAGTTGGTTTGCTGTTAAAATATGAACTACTTTTGAAACACAAGCAAAGTAAGTATTTCATCTTGTTATCTGCAAAATGGGTTAAAAAGATCTACCTCAAAGGATATCTATGATGAGAAATGAGATGTACACTTGAAGTGGTTCCATCAGAATCTAACCCATTATAATCAAGGTATTTTAGTCTATAATATGGAGGTGCTTGTGTTGCTTGTGGAATGATTACACCTAATGATGCAGACGTGAAACAATCACCTGCAAGTTTCAGAGCTTTTTAGATGGTGAGACTGTCAGAAATGATAAAACAGATTACAAGCTCTTTACTATTTATGGAATTTCAATGAATGAGTACATTCCTGTACATGATATCAGATAAAATTGAAGCAAAGTGACCAGATGAAATAATGTCAGCTTCTTTGAGCTCAAATGAGTCACTTCTTTAAAGACACATCAACTATGAGTTCATTCCTTCACGTTCTGTTTTTTTTTCTGTGATTATGATTGATTGGATATACTTCATAATATTTGCTTATGTTTATACTTTAGGAAAGTATATTTTCCCTAAACTGGATATACTTCATAATATTTGCTTATGTTTATACTTTAGGAAAGTATATTTTCTGTAAAACTATATTGTTCCAGCAAGTATAAAAAATAAGAAAATAAAGAAAACCCCAAGAATAGATTTACAAGGTTTTACTTTGAGGAGTCTGAGTCTATACTGATTTTTTTTCTTCATGTTAAAGGGCATAATAGTTTAAACTACTCATGAAAACCCCTCTTAACAATTCTCCTGGCTTGAAAGGATTGATTTCTTCCTATAAAATCTAAGTGATTTTTACCTCTGTGGCATCTATTACCCTAGTTAGGCAAATACTCCCCACATTAGGCTAAGAGCACCCAACTATCTGGCTACTGTAGACAGAATCAAAGATTTCCACTTAAAGTTACAAACTAGATTTTATATTTCAGTGTAGCCTCTCATTATTAGCACTACTGTCATTTTGGGCCAGATGATTTTTGCTGCTGTGTGGGTGTTGGCTTATGCATTAAAAGATATTTGATAGCATCTTTGGCCTCTACCCACTAGATGCAAATTGCATCTCTTACAATGTGACAACCAAGTAGGTCTTTTGAGATTGCCAAATGTCACCTGAAGGACAAACATGCCCAAATTGAGAACAAGGAGTTTCAAAAATAAAATTCAGAGAAGAAATGACCAGGAAGTACTCAGCCTTAAATGGGGCATACATATTACCTCCTCCAAGACTAAGGGAACACCTTAAAATGGGAGGAAAGAAGAACGTAAGTGATGGAAGATATGAAGACGTACTGTGAAACCATGTCAAATGGGCATGATATGGCCATGGTACTCTTGAAATCACAATAACTATTGTTGTTTACACAGAGACTACAAAGACCAAGCCTATCAACATTTATCCACAGATGGGACACACCCAGAGGATCTTATGGTAGTCTATGGCTGCTGAGGGAGATGGAAGCCATGGTTTTCAGTGATGTAGCCACTAGTAGGTTACTCAGGAACCAATGAACAGCTCAATCCCAATGTGTTATAAACAAAAAACAAAATGAAACAAAAGATATGAAAATAGAATAGGGACTTGGTGAGAGATGTATGGGAGCTTATAGGGATAGAGGAGGCTCAGAGAAGGTGGAGGGATTAGTATGACCAGAATGTACTGCATACATGTATGAAACTGTGAAAATACATAAATTAATAATCATCAGAAAAGCACCTAGTGTTGACTCAAAATCAGGTAACTTTTTCTAAATGTGGAAACTTCTAAATGAATTTAAGTATTTAGCCAGGGTCAGACATTTATGCAATTTGAAGCGTAAGCAGGCAATGCTTGTCTTTTCATCCAATGTTTAGTGTTTGTTTTATTCTTAAAGGATAAGGGAGAAGGCAATGTAAATGTGGCACAAAAACACATGAAACAACATTAAAAATAGATAAAATTTCATTAAACTTAAAACAATTGCTTATCAAATGACACTGGTGATCAGACAGGAGAGCACAGTGGTTGATGTCCTTCTTGCTATGCACAAAACCCTGGGTTCAATTCCTGTCTTACAAAGTTCATTACTTAATTAATTAATAAGAAAAATGACATTGTCAAGAAAGTTAAGAGATGCTCTCAGAATGGGAGAAAGTATTTGCAAACCATATATCGTATAAGGGTAATAAAAAAAACTGGAGAAAAGAAAAATAATCCAAAAGATGGTAAAAAACTTTATAATCTATAAGTTATCCCTCAATAAAAATGAATATTATAAACATATATATTTGAAAAAGGCCAGATAGTGCAAGTTGGCTTAAAAGTAAAAAAAAGAAGAAGACAATAGTAAGAAAAGGCATATATTTCAGCCACAAGATGAAGAAGTTGTATTATTTCTGGTAAGTTACATGAAAGGAGGTATGCAGAAGAAAAGAGAAAGGTGGTCAGTGCTTGTGTATACTATTGTTGTTATTGTTATTATTATTTTATTATGGTCAAATCTTTTATATGCTAAACAGTTACCAAGATCCAGGTGGACGCTGGTATTTTCAATTTAATGGACTATTTCAGTCTAAGACTACTATCACAAGGAGGGCTTTACAACAAATTTATGAAGATAGAGAAATAGCCTGGTAACTTTTATTAGTCATCCTTTTGATGTTCCTTCCTTCCTTCCTTCCTTCCTTCCTTCCTTCCTTCCTTCCTTCCTTCCTTCCT